AGATGGGTGATATTACAACACACCCAACTGAAATTAAAAGAAACATAACACATTACTATGAAAAACTGTAACAAATCTGAAAACCTAGAGGAAATGGACAAATTTCTAGAAACTCACTACCTACCTAAATTAACACAAACAGAAGTAGAACAACTAAATAAACCAATAACAAAAGAAGATATAGAAAAGGTAATTAAAAAACTCCCAACAAAAAAAAGCCCTGGCCTGGATGGCTTCACTGGAGAATTCTACCAAACTTTCAGAGAAGAGATAACACCACTTCTACTAAAGCTATTTCAGAGCACAGAAAAGGATGGAATACTCCCAAACTCATTCTATGAAGCCAGCATAACCCTGATACCAAAACTAGGTACAGACACCACAAAAAAAGAAAATTACAGACCAATATACCTCATGAACATTGATGCAAAAATCCTCAACAAAATTTTAGCCAATAGAATTCAGCAACATATCAAAAAAATAATTCACCATGACCAAGTGGGATTTATACCAGGTATGCAGGGATGGTTCAACATTAGAAAAACAATCAATGTAATCCATCACATAAATAAAACAAAAGACAAGAACCACATGATCTTATCAATCGATGCAGAAAAGGCATTTGACAAAGTCCAACACCCATTCATGATAAAAACTCTCAACAAAATAGGAATAGAAGGGAAATTCCTCAATATAATTAAGGGCATTTATACAAAGCCAACAGCCAACATCATCCTAAATGGAGAGACTTTGAAAGCATTCCCCTTGAGAACGGGAACCAGACAAAGATGCCCTCTATCACCACTCTTATTCAACATTGTGCTGGAGGTCCTAGCCAGAGGAGTTAGGCTAGAAAAATAAAGTGTATCCAGATTGGTAGGGAAGAAGTCAAAGTATCTCTATTTGCAGATGATATGATCTTATACACAGAAAGCCCCAAAGAATCCACAAGAAAACTACAGGAACTAATAAAAGATTTCAGCAAAGTTTCAGGTTACGAGATAAACATACAAAAATCAGTTGGATTCCTTTACACCAACAAAGAGAACCCCCTGAACAGGAAACTATCAAATCAATACCACTTACAATAGCCCCCAAGAAGATAAAATACTTAGGAATAATCTAACCAGAGACGTAAAAGATCTTTACAGAGAAAACTACAAGACACTACTGCAAGAAACTAAAAGAGGCCTGCGTTAAGTGGAAAAATACACCTTGCTCATGGATAGGTAGACTCAACATACTGAAAATGTCAATTCTACTCAAAGCAATCTACAGATACAATGCAATCCTGATCCAAATTCCACTGGCATTTTTTAATGAGATGGAGAAGCAAATCACCAACTTCATAAGGAAAGGGAAGAGGCCCCGAATAAATAAAGCATTACTCAAGAAGAAAAACAAAGTGGGAGGCCTCACACTACCTGATTTTAGAAACTATTATTCCGCCACGGTAGTCAAAACGGCCTGGTACTGGTACAACAACAGACACATAGACCAATGGAACAGAGTTGAGAATCCAGATATAAGCTCATCCACCTATGAGCAACTAGTATTTGACAAAGGCTCAAAGTCCGTTAATTGGGGAACAAACAGTCTCTTTAACAAATGGTGCTGGCATAACTGGATATCCATCTGCAAAAAACTGAAACAAGACCCATACCTCACACCAGGCACAAAAACTAACTCAGAATGGGTCAAAGACCTAAATATAAATTCAAAAACAATAAAGATCATGGAAGAAAAAATAGGGACAACGCTAGGAGCCCTAATACATGGCATAAACACAATATGAACCATAAGTAACAATGCACAAGCACCAGAAAAGAGAGTAGATAAATGGGAGCTCCTAAAAATCAAACACTTATGCTTATCAAAAGACTTCATCGAAAGAGTCAAAAGACAACCTATAGACTGGGAAAAAATTTTTGGCTGCGACAAATCCGATCAACATCTAATCTCTAAAATCTACAAGATACTGCAAAACCTCAACAACAAAAAGACAAATCACCCAATTAAAAAACGGGCAAAGGATATGAACAGGTGCTTCACCAAAGAACATATGCAGGCAGCTAACAGAGGAGCTATAAGGAAATGCTCACGATCATTAGCCGTTAGACAAATACACATCAAAACTACAATGAGATATCATCTCACCCCAACAAGGCTAGCTAGCATTAATCCAAAAAACACAAAATAATAAATGCTGAAGAGGCTGTGGAGAGACTGGAACACTTATACACTGTTGGTGGGAATGTAAAATGGTACAACCACTTTAGAAATCGATTTGGCCCTTCCTTAAAAAGCTAGAAATAGAAGTATCATACCATCCAGCTATCCCGCTCCTTGGAATATATCCTAGAGAAATAAGAGCCGTCGCACAAACAGATATATACACACCCATGTTCATCGCAGCACTGTTCACAATAGCAAAAAGATGGAAACAACCTAGGTGTCCATCAACAGACGAATGGATAAATTATGGTATATCCACACAATGGAATACTACGCAACGATAAAGAACAACGATGAATCCGTGAAAAACTGTATAACATGGTGGAAGTTGGAACTTGTTATGCTGAGTGAATTTAGTCACAGAAGGACAAATATTGTATAAGACCACTATTATAAGAACTCAAGAAAAGGTTTAAACACAGAAGAAAACATTCTTTGATGGTTACTGGGGTGGGGAGGGAGGGTGAGGGTTATTTACTAACTAGATAGTAGATAAGAATTATCTTAGGCGAAGGGAAGGACAGCACACACTACAGGGGAAGTCAGCACAACTGGACTAAACCAAAGCTAAGAAGTATCCTGAATACAACCAAACACTTCGAGAGACACAGTAGCAGGGGTAGGGGCCAGGAGTCCACGCTTTCAGGGTACATCTAGGTCAACTGGCAGAATAAAGCTTATTAAGAAAATGTTCTGCATCGTACTTTGGTGAGTGGTGTCTGAGGTCTTAAAGGCTTGCAAGCGGCCATCTAAGATGTACCAATCGGTCCCAACCACCTGGAGTAAAGGAAAAGAAAGAACAGCAAAGACTCAAGGAAAGTATTAGCCCAAGAGACAGAAAGGGCCACATAAACCAGAGACTTCATCAGCCTGAGATCAAAAGAACTAGATGGTGCCTGACTACCACAAATGACCACCCTGACAGGGAACACAACAGAGGGTCCCTCATGGAGCAGCAGAAAGATGGGGCGCAGAACTCAAATTCTAGCAAGAAGATCAGACTTAATGGTCTGACTGAGACTGGAGGAACCCCGGAAAGCATGGCCCCTGGACTCTCTATCAGCCCAGAACTAAAACAATTTCCGAGGCCAACTCTTCAGACAAAGATTGGACTGGACTTTGGGACATAAAGTGATTCTTGTGAAGAGTGTGCCTCTTAGTCAAGTACATACAAGAGACCAAAGGAGCAGCTTCTGTCTGGAGGTGAGATGGGAAGGCAGAGAGGGTTAGGAGCTGGTTGAATGGTTATGGGGAGAGCAATTAGGGTCACAAAACAATGTATGTATAAAATTTTGTATGGGAGACTAACCTGAAATGTAAACTTCAATTAACTGCAACAATTATATATATATATATATATAAATAAATTCTTAAACATACAATCAAGTTCAGCTTATTTCTTTTTCACATAAATTCTAAAATGGTAGCCTAGAACAGTAGTACTTAAACCTTAGCATGTGTTCTGTGTTCAAATCACCTGGAAGAGACGTTAAAACAGACTGCTGCTGCTTCCCAACCCCCTACATAGTTTCTGATACAGTTATGTCTGGGGTGGGGCCCCAAAATTCAAAATTTGCATTTCTCACAAATTCTTAGATGATACTGATGGTCTGGCGACCACACTCTTGAGAAATCAGTGTTCCAGAAATAAAAAATATTCAGGACCTGGGCACAAATCAAGGTTTAATATGTGTAAGTATTAACCATTAACTAGATGAAAGAAAGACTTCATCCATACCTGTAATACTGGAATTCCAGCATTTAACCTAAGTTTCCCATTACTTCTATCTGGTCTTAACTTAGTAAATCTCTCACAATTTCATTCAGGGTTTCCACCTTCAGTCTCACTATCTAAATGCATGGCAAGTAGTAGATTTTTACATGTATAATATCTATCCACAGATACTCCTTGTTAATTTCCTTATAGAATATTTTCTTATTACCTATGTTATAATTCACTTGATACCCTATCACTTCATGGATTTTATAAAGTATTTATCTACAGCAATACTGTGTGCCCTATTATTTATTCTCTATTTACTATATCTTAAATATGAATTTCATAAAGGTTATATAACTCACTGAACATTCTTTTCCCTTTTTTCTTGTGGGACACAGCCTACATACAGATATAATTATTTTTATTTTGCTTTCTTGGCTTTCCCACACCTATTTGGCAAAGTAGACTGGTTACTTAATTTTCTCCTTTTTAAAGACATACAGTGAAACCCTGTGGGTTATCTTTAACAAAAACTTTAGCAAGCATTTAATACTATGCTGACAGCTGGCATTATTTTAGTTCAGTAAGTCAGTGATTCATAAACGGACTCCATCTCCACCTTGAAGACTTAAGTCTTTCCTTCTCTGATGACTTGTTAGCTGCTGTCAAGTTGGCCCCTGACTCATGGTGACCCCGCGCACAACAAAGCCAATCACTGCCTGGTTCTCTGTTATCCCCAAGATCAGCTACGGGTCAGACTATTGTGATCTATAGGGCTGATTTTCGTAAGTAAATTACCAGGCCTTTCTTCCTAGTCTGTCTTAGTCTGGAAGCTCTGCTGAAAGCTGTTCAGTATTGCAGCAACATGCCAAGCCGTGCATGAGGTGCACTGACCGGGCATTGAACCCGGGTCTCTTACATGGAATGTAAGAATTCTACCACTGAACCACCACTACCTCCTCCTTGGTCACTAGGTAACTCTTATTTATAGCATCTACTTCAGATGTTATAAATAAATAAATAAATAAAAGAATTTAAGACATACTTGCATAATTGTTGAGATCAAACTGTGAGAGAGCATCTACTTTCTCTTTGGGTTTTTTAGGACCTGGTTTGGGGTCTTCTCTTTTTTTCCCAGTAGTATCTTTGGAGTTCTTTTGTCCTGTACCATTAAGTGCTCCTTCTTGGTGGTGTGTAGAGCTGCCATTGACTGGGTCAACACCAGTTGTACCTGCAGACTGGTCATCAAATGGTCTACAAAATAATAATAATAATTTGAGCTATTATTACCTCCACATACCCAAACAAAAGTAAAAAAGCTCTTACTAGTAGTTTCTAATGTTCAATCTAAGAAGCAACAGTATTGAGCTAGAAGACCAACAAGCCTTTGAGACATCTGTCGAATATAACCTCACTAAAACTGAGCCTCTCAAAACAAGGAGATAGGCTAGCTCCCTAAAGTCATTTACAACAATAAATTCCTAGATCTCTAATTATCCCCTGAAGGTTCCAATTGTGTTTATTTGTCCATTATGTCAAAGATGAGCTAATCAACACTGGTTACAGTGGAAAATTTCTGTGATCCAAGCTAAAGTACTCACAACTGGAATCTTCTCCATATATGGGCAGCATAAGAAAATGATGTTTATAAAAAGCATTCTATGTTTACATTATGTATATATTTTTAAATGGTTCTATCAGATTTATACATTAATGTAAACATATAAGGAATATTGATATGGAAATAATTCATTTCACAAATCAAATGTATTCTTACAATTTTGTTCTAAACAAAATTACCTTCTGACATTTATTAACTCATTAGCCTGTAATATCACCCAAGACAAAAGCTTACCAAATGCCTGACAAAGAGCATGGCCTCAAATATTTGAAGAATGAATTGATTTCTTCTAGATGGGACTCTCACAAAACATTCGTTTTAACTACAACCAGTCTGCTATTTCTGCAGGTTCAAAGTTGTTGCTATCTACACAGCACAAAAATCAGACCAAAATTTCCCTTACTTGAAATTCAAATAGTTCCATTATAGTCAATGAACTATTCTGTTCAGTAATTTTTGTTATCCTGATTCTCTTGGACCTTTAAAGAAGGGACGTTCAAATTCAGTTAAGCAGGTACTCAGGAAATACAAATGGTCACGATATTTCCTGGAATCTTTTTAAAAGCAAAAAGTCTAGTAATCTGAAATGCTCAGTAACTAAGGAACTCAGATTAATAGAATATTGTCCATTGTCCAAATAAATTTCTCGTCAGCTTAGGCTGTAACCTAAGAACTTCGTCAAAAAAGAGGGCACACCCTAGAAGTTGTATTCTATATGCCAGATATTATGTTAAGTGCCTCACAAATAGCAATTCAATAATCTTCACATTCTTTTTTTTGTTTTTTGAACGTTTTACTGTGGTTTGGGTGAAAATTTACAGAGCAAATTTGTTTCTCATTCAACAATTTATACACATTTTGTTTCAAGACATTAGTGGCAATCCCCTCAATGTGACAAGCACTCTACTCACTTCCTCCCTGAGTTCCCAGTTTCCATCTGCCTATCTTTCTTGTCCCTTCCTGTCTTCTGAACTTTGTTTTGGGACCAATGCTGCCCTTTTGGTCTTGTGTGGTTGATTGTTCTGAGGAGCACGTTCCTCACGGGTGTTACTGTTCACTTACAGGCCTGTCTATTTTTTAGCTGAACGGTGCTCTCCAGGACTGAGTTCTGTTCCAGAATTGAAGGGTGTTTAAGGGCCATAGTCTCGGGGGTTCCACCAGTCTCTATCAGACCAGTTTAAATCTGGTCTTTTTTATGAATTTGAATTTTGTCCTACATTTTTCTCCCACTCTGTCCAGGACCTTCTACCGTGATCCCACTCAGGGTGGTCGGTAGTGGTAGCCAGGCACCATCTAATTCTTTTGGTCTCAGGCTACTGGAGGCTGTGGTTCATGTGGTCCATTAGTCCTCTGGACTAAATGTTTCCTTGAGACTCTGATTTTCTTCATTCTTCTTTGCTCCGGATGGAAGAGACCAATAGTTGTATCTTAGATGACCGCTCACAAGCTTTTAAGACCCCAGTAGCTACTCAACAAACCAGGATGTAGAACACTGTTTTTATGGACTATGTTATGTCAACTGACCTAGATTCTCCCTGAAGGTGTTCGATTATGGCTATGAAGTTTTCATAATTGTGCCTCCTCCACGTTCTACTATATACATGGATATATTTGTAGCACATACAAATACGTATGTAGAAATATCCTCTGCCAAACCTATACATGCTCATGATGTACCCCCATATGCCATCCCACTTATTCAGCTTACATATCCACCTGCAAATTACTGTTTGTTGTTACCGTTATTGCAGCATTGTAACAGTATTTACCATTGTTGCTTTTTACTCTTGTCTACCTCAGTGTCTTCCTTTGCCTTCGTCATGTTGTGCTGACTTCCATCATATTGTGTACTGTCTTTCCCTTCACCAAAGTTAATACATGTCTACTATCTAGTTAGTGATTTTTCCCTTCCGCCCCCTCCCATCCCTGGTACCATCAAACAAAGGTTTCTTGGTGTAAACCATTTCTTGGTTTTGTGTAACAGTCGTCTCATACAATATTTGTCCTTGAGAGATTTATTTCACTCAGCATAACGCCCTATTTTCACACATTCTTATAAGTACTATCACTTTCTCCCCATTTTACTGGTAAGGAAGCAAAGAGTTTATACAATTAGTGAGTACCAAGGCCTAAATTTGAACCTAGGCATTCTGACTTTTAACTGCTACTCTATAATTCTTCCTGACACTAAAGGTATCAATAGTACTTTACTATAACCATGATTTTAATAGTTAAAAGAATGGACTAAGTTTAGCATAAATTTAGAGACATCCTTTTAAAGAAATCCACTGCCATGGTATTTATGTTATTAACGGCCTTGGTTGTTGGGTATGGCTTTGTTCTCTGGCCCTCTTTCTAGTTGGATCATTTATTTTAAGTTTGCAACCCGAGGGGGAAATGTTACTTATCCTTAAGGTTCAACATTCACTTTTGGGAAACTAGTAAAAAGCAATAAGATGTATTTTTATAACATATTAAGTCTCAGAGGACATCTGTACTGTACCATGGTTTTACAAGGTGACGAAACCAATAAAAAAAGAAAAGCTACTAAATGGAGGACATTATTACCAAATGGAGGACAGTGTACACGTCTCTCCATAAATGTGCAAATTTCCCCAAAGCTACAAGTTCCCAAGAAGACTCTTGTGGAAAATGTAACTTAGCATGCAATTCCTGAGATACATTAACCTCTCCTCTTCAAGTACCCTTACATTTTGAGAACAGAGAAAAGCACCTCGGGAGAACAACGGCTTGGTCCTCTATCTAGACTGGCCTCTTTGCATAGTTCAACCTAGAAGACCACCTTTAGGTTCTTTAGAGGTACAAAAGCAGTTACATGTAAAGCAAAATACTCACCCTCTCTTCCCACTTTTGGATGGTGGGCCACTTCTTCTTTCATTCCTAGGACCTGAGAAATTCCTTGCTGATTTTGGTGGACCATTGTTGCTGCGCCGATTCTGGCGATCTACCCCAGGTCTCTGACTGGAAAAACTTCTCTTTGCTATTTCCCGCTTTGGAGGTAAAACATTCTCTCCGGCCTTTACAACCATTTGTGCATTCAAATCAGCATTTTTTTTTTCATCCCTCTCACGCCTCTCATTGAAATCACTGCTTTCCGAGGCTGTTTCCCACTCTTCATTTGCCTGATCTGAAGAGTTCTGATTAGATAAGTCTGGTGTCTTACTCCCAGAAATATCCCCAGCAGTACTGGCTGCTTCTTGAACCACACTGTTAACTGTGCCATTTGTGGATACTGTCACCTCATTTGTTTTAGAAGCAGCCTCTCTCTCTCTTAGTCGTCTAAACCGAGGAGGCTTATCTTGCCTTGGTGGTCGGGTAGGGCGTTGCCTTCGGGGCCTCTCTCTAGCTGGGTCAAATTTTCGCTCAAACTTTGGAGGTCGTTTATCTGCTGGTATAGGAATAAACTGCTCATGTCTTCTGGGTGGCTCTCCATCTTCTGGTTTAGGAGCTTCTGCCTGCCTTGGGTTCCACTGATTGTCCCGATAAGCAGGCCTTCGTAAGGTGGTGGGGCGTGATGGGCGACCTCCAGGATCCCTTCCACCACGTCTGAATGTTCCCCCTCTGCCTCGTCTTGTTGGCTCTCCTTTAGGAAGGAAGCCTGGTTTAGATTTGTCATCATCCCTCATATAAGGTTTTTCAAGTGGTCTATTATTTATTCGGACATGGTTTTCAGGCTTGAAAGAAAACTGAGGCTTTATAGGTTTTTTGTTTTCAGATCGTTCCTCTCTTTTGGGCAGTTTACCCTTGCTTAAACTATCCTTGTCACTGGCACTTTCATGAACTTCACTGTCTGTGTCAGTCTCTGAACCTCGCTGTCTTCTTCTTTTAGGGACGACTTCAAAGTCAGAGCTCTCACTTCGGGTTTCGCTTTCTTCTCGCTGCCTGAGAGGCCCTGAGGGCACGTGCTCTGTTCTTGGCTTAGTGTCTCTATACTGAGGATAATCTCGAGGGTGCCCTCTACCACCCCGGCCTCGCCCTCCATAAGAGCCTCTATAGCTTCGACCTCTGGAATAATATTCACCTCGGCCTCGACCTCTGTATCCTTGATCTGGAAACCAATCTCTAGCTTCTTTCCAATAGGTCCTAGGGGTTTGTAAAGTTGATTCTTTTTTGACTATTGGTCTTGAATCTGGTCGAGGTCTTTCTATAACAAGGTCTTTAGTGATGACCTTCTCAGGCTGTTTCTCTTCTTTGACTGTTGGTGCTGAGACCATTTGTTGGCTAACAGTTTTAACTGTAGGCTCTACTTGAACACTATTCAGAGGTTCCAAAGGCTTCTCAGTATCTTGAGATGGCTTTTGAGCCACAGCTGAAGTTTCTGTTGAAGGAGGTTTCTCTAGTTCTGGTGGAGGTGGTGGTGGAACTGACTGTGGCTGGGTCGGTGCTGGAGGTGGTGAGGGTGAAGGAAGAGGATCCTTCTTTTCTGTCTTTTCGGGCTTTACAACTTTTTCTGTGACCTTTTCTCCTTCTTTTTCCTTTCTCTGCTCTCGTTCCTCTTTCATATCTCTAAGTATAGGTTTTTTAATGGGACCCGATCTTCTCACAGGCCTATCGTTACCTTCTTCCCGTCTGTTGGAGCTTGGTCTTGGGCCCCAGCGAGTTTCAGATTTAGATTTATACAGTTTTTCAGGTTTTGGTCCTTCCGAAGATCGTATGAAGCCATCCTTTTTTGGTTTTTCCTCTGGTCTTTCTGCTGGTTCTTTTGAATCAATGCATCTGCTGGTTACTTTAGGAATGCTTACAGATGGCTCATTTCTTTGTTCCTCTGATTTCTGAGTATGGTTAGATCCATGGGAAACACTTCTTTTCAGAACAGGCTGACTTTCTCCAGCTGAAATCTGTTCTTCTTGAGGAGTGGATATGGTCTTTTGATCAGATACTTCAAAACAAGCAGACAGATTGTTGGTTTCACTATGGTGAGGTCTAATGTCTTCCACAGATCTGCTTAGAAACTTTTGTACTTCTGTCTCACATGATTCTCTGAGAAAGTCTACTTTTGGATGAGAATCCAACTGACTATGTTCTACAGGATAAGCAGGAGTAATCTGTTCCTGTTCCAAAGGGGCTTCAGGCCTATGATGAAGAGAATTAAAAAATATAACCAACAAAGCAAAATCTTTCCCACATATAACTGTACAGTAAAACAATTGCTCTAATTTTAAAACATGAAAACAATAAATCCTAAAGACCATCATTATCTATGAAAAATTTAGACTATACTGATGTGAATTTCTAACTTATCAAGGCTAATAAACTTCTCCCTAGAATGAAAGTGTACACTATAGTAAGTCTGTCTCAATTAATTAGAAATGATTTCAAAACTTTATCACAAAATATAGCGTTTGAAAGGGCAGATGTTCTAACTATATGGCTGTAAGTTATGAGAGATTACCAATTGTCTGCCACTTCAAAATCTTTGTAAATTAGGATTTCTCCTTATCATGGTCTTAGAAAATTTCCAAAAGACACTGACAGTTAAACGTCTTTCATTTCTCACTAGTGGAAGAATTACATCAACACTTTAGCCAGACTACATGATAAGCATGTTAGACACATTTAAATTTCTTCACATTGAATCTGTAGTAAAACCCTGTGAAGTTTTAACATTGAGCACTGCATTTCAGCATTTAATTCAGTGCATACAACTAGGTTACAAAATACCCTAATCAATCCAGAAATGCAAGAAAAAGAAAATATGTCAAAAAATGAAACGAAACACACTAAATATAATCAGACTTATGGCTCAGTCCTAAAACAGGTACTATGCAGCTTTCTTGTCATCATCATGTTCTACTGAGTCTATTAATAATTTTAATAATTACCTTACATCCTCAGGTTCTTCTGTTATCTTGGGAGTAGTTGCCTGCTGAGGCTCAGCATGAGGATAGGGATCTGACCCCCACATCATACGAGGCTCAGAGAGGGAAATGGCATGGTCTCTTGTGGATCGAGCTATATGCTCAAATGACTCAGAACTGTTTGGCGACCCTTCCATCTGGTCTCTTCTCATTAATGGCTTAGGAGGAATCATTCCTGTAAAGAAAGTTCAGAAAAAGATGAAATAAGACTTATAAAAAATGATAGTAATAAAATCATGATAGACAAGAATCTAGATTATTAATTGCTATTTGGAATTCTCTACACTCAAGTTAAATGTGTGTGTGTGTGTGTGTGTGTGTGTGTGTGTGTGTGTGTGTTCCCCAAGCAAAACTGATTAATTTAACAAAACATTAGTGAACAATCCAGATATCTTGACTCTATGTATCTTAATACAAATAACATAATGAGAATTATACCAATATTGATAAATTCTCAGAGAAAATATTTCCTATAGCAGATTCCTTTAATCTAGTTTAATTTAGCTGATCAATATTCTATAAATTATGCTACTTAAAATTTAAAATTTCAGTGTAAACTCTTAAAATGAAGATTTGATTCTTCATCAGCTTTTTATCACTCTTAAACTTTCCTGCATACAATTTTGGTAACTGATTTCTGGATTTATTCTGATGGATTCCATAAAAGACCGCTAGTTCATCTGTATAAAAACCTATAAGGAAATTCAAATGGTAGGTTGGTAAATAATGGAGAAAACTGAAAGGCTGGAATACATGTGGACAAAACTTAAATGCTGAAACACTTAAAAGGACAAAAACAATGTAGCCAATAACAGATATTGTTAATAAGACAGTGAATAAGTTTGGTCTCAAATTTTCAAAATAATATTTACGAAACAGAAAAGAACTAATATTTTGGTTTTATCACAAAATTGGTACAAGTGTCTGGCATTTTAACTACTGTGTTGAAATACAGTTACATAGTTTCATGATTAAAAATCTTGAGGTCCTATATAAGTTCTTAGTAGGCTATACCTTCAAAGGAATTAAGACTAAAAATGGGAAAATAACAAAACACTTTGATCCTGCAAAATTGTAAGTGAGCCAGGAGACAATGCCAGTTTCAACTAACCAGGATGAATGGGTGGAATATCCATAGTAGGTCTTCCTGACATCATGCGAGGATCCATATATGACTGCATCATGAGCCACCTTGGATCAAAACCCATGGAAGCCAAATGCTGAGGGTGAGGCTGCATGGGCTGGTACAGAGGTCTGTGTGGTGGAGGAGGGACAGCACCACTGGATGGCTGTGAAGACACAGTTTGTGGAAGTATACCCTGCTGTTGCTGCTGCTGCCACTGCTGCTGTTTCATCTGTTCCTGAAAAAGAAATATCCCACATCTTGAGATTTTAGTTCCACGTGATAAGTAAATACAATCTATCACATCAAAAAACAGGAGTTTTTGAATCCTTATGAGAAAAGTATGATAAAAGTGCAAAGGATAAGTTATAACACTTTGCCCCATACTTAACCTAAGCAATTAATCATTCATTTATTACACTGTACAACCATTTCCTAGGAAAATGGCATCTATAAATGAGGCAGGGGAGAAAAGGAATGACACAGAAGGTCAAGGTAAAACCCATACCAACAAAGGTTTTATTAAAAAAGAAAAGAATTTCAGAGCAAATTTGTGTGCTTTGTGTAATTTAGGTTTTATGTCAAATTCACTTCTCAAACTATTGAACAATAAACCTTTTCAATAATATATACATAATAAAATGGTTTTAGCCTTACCTGCTGCCGCTGGAATCGTGGTGGTAAAGACTTTTGAAACTGTTTGAAATAGCCAGATAATACAGCAGGCCGAGGCTGAGCCCCTGATTCTGGTTCTGTTTCATGAGCCACTTGTGTGGTTTCTTTTTCACTGCGACTGCTATCTTGTCTAGTGAAAACTGGCTCCTCCTCTGCCGAAAAAAAAGGTAAAAGATAATTGTCTTCATCCATGACACTTAATATGTGACTTTTGTGCCAGAATGGAATGATTAGATTGAGGTATAATAAAAGTTAATGAGGAAGAAGGTATCCTCAATACTCCAATACACTGTTTTATATTTAAAGATTGGTAGCCATTAATGAGGCAATGAAGATTACCCAAACCTCAGATGTCCTCAATGTTGGGTTCCTAAGAGAAAGATGACCGGTCCAAAGTTCTCACCGTACAAAAATCTGTACTTGATTATTTTGCGCTAATAAAACATATCAAACTTTACCTACTTTCCACTTATTTTAATAAATATCAATACAGCTGTCAATATTTACCTGTGGTTCCCCAGGACCTATGTGAAAACACAAATGCCTTAAAATAGGGAACATTCGTTTATGCGGTTTTTTAAGGATCAAGGGTGTATATTATCTATAAAGCAAACTAACAATAATGAGTTTAAGTCTGAAGAAAACAGAGTGATCACCAGCTATCTTCAAACATATAAATAATTATTCTATATAAAGGGTGTCAATTATGCTACAGTAGAATGAGAAGCACACACGTTTAAAGAAAAAGAAAAAAGATTTTTCATTCCAAGGAAAACATGAGTCATATTGTTCTAGAGCATGTAAATTGTCACAATTACAAAGCTGAGTTTACAAATTCTATTCTTAGATGACTAGGGAAGAATCTTAAATTCTATTCTTAGATGACTAGGGATGAATCTTAGAAAGTTTGTCAATGTAAAGTCATGCTGTATAGAATTACAGATTACATTTTTCATGTCTGCATTACATTCAATACTAAGAATGTTGTAAAAGGGAAAAACAAAATATTGGAGGGGAAAAAAAAGCCAACTAGCTATAACACTTAAAATCAAATGGGTATACCTCACTGATAAATTTAGCTAAATTACCATGACAGAACATATAAATGGTGGATGAAAATAAAAGCAACACTAAAGAAGGATTATTAAAAAGAAAACAATATTTATGTAGATATAGCCACTACTGAAAATTAAATTAACTTATATAAGGTCAACAAATCTATTCAGTGGCAGAACCAGAACTAAAATATAAATTTCCTCATTTCTAATTTGCAGTCCTTTCTTGTTAGCTGTTGGTTAACCAGATTCCTTAAGCTTATTAACATTATGTATTATGTACATGGCAGTATTTTTTATTTCTGTTTAAACAATGTGACTTTAATCGGTGTTTTGAGCAATCCTGCTAAAAGCTTACAACATATTAATAAAAGCCCAATATCAGAATCAAGTTCTCTCTACCCATTGCCGTCAAGTTGATTCCGGCTCATAGTGACCCTATAGGACAGAGTAGAACTGCCCCATAAAGTTTTCAAGGAGCGCCTGGTGGATTCGAACTGCCGACCTTTTGGTTAGCAGCCACAGCACTTAACCACTACGCCACCAGGGTTTCGAAGTTATTGCTAGACTGATTATAATATGAAGAAAATTTATGAAATCTAATAATCAAATTATTATCAAATCTATAAATCTATATCATTAAAAAAAGTCAAGATAAAATACTCTTACTTTTTCATAGTTATACTAACAGCCAAGTTTGAAGGTAATTGTTATGGATTGAATTGTGTCCCTCCAAAATGTGTGTCGACTTGGCTAGGCCATGATTCCCAGTATTGTGTGACTGTCCACCATTTTGTGATCTGATGTGATAATCCTAAATGTTGTAAATCCCACCTCTATGATGTTAATGAGGCAGGATTAGAGATGGTTATGTTAATGAGGCAGGACTCAATCTACAAGATTAGGTTGTACATTGAGTCAATCTCTTTTAAAATACAAAAGAGAGAAGCAAGCAGAGAGACAGGGAGACCTCCTAACACCAAGAAAGCAGCACTGGGAGCAGAGCGCAAAGGACTCGAGGTTCCTGCACTGAGATGCTCCTAAACAGGGGAAGATTGATGACAAGGACCTTCCCCTAGAGCTGACAGAGAAAGAAAGCCTTCCCCTGGAGCTGGTGCCCCAAATTTAGACTTCTAGCCTCCTAAACTGATAGAATAAATTTCTCTTTGATCCACTTGTGTTATTTCTGTTATAGCAGCCCTAGATAACTAAGACAGTAACGCTGAGTATAAGGAAAAAGTTAAAAATTCTTAAATAGGTTTATAATTTTAAGCAACAAGGATGTATAGAAAGAGCATGGCATTTAGGGTCAGAAAAACTAGTATTTCTGTATTAGAAAACATACTAAAATAAAACTATATTTTATATCACTATTTTAACTCAACTTGTACATTAGGACTGAACAACTAAGTAGCAATGTTTTATGCCATATTTTAATTACATTAATTAGTCTATAAGCCAACTTGGAGAACAACAAAAATGTTGATTAGATCTAGAAAGACTTTTTAAAAAAGTATAATTACACAGAAATCAAAGTCTGGCAAGCATATTAGCTATGTTGTTGTTGTTAGGTGCTGTCGAATCAATTCTGATCATAGTGACTATGTAGCACAGAGTAGAACTGCCCCATAGGATTTCCAAGGAGTGGCTGGTGGATTTGGACTGCCAACCTTTTGGTGGGCAGCTGAGTTCTTAACCACTTTGCCACCAGGGCTCCACATTAGCTAGATAATATTTAAACTGATAGAAAAACAAATACGAAATTACAAAATGGGTGTAGTTATTTAATTATGACAATCTAACATTTCCATTAAGCTCTCGTTCAGTAAATTTCTATAGATATTAATGCATGTGAACAAATGAGATCTTATTTAGCTAAATGTCTTGGAATCAGAAAAAAAGTAGGGAAGCCAACACAATTTTGAAGCCAAACAGAATTAAAGCTCATGTAGTAACTTTGAGAAACATTTCAGCAATGTTTATTCAACCAGTTTTTTTTTTTAACCTCACTGAATAACCCCACCATCATCCTTTCCAAAACCAAATGACCTATTTCTATCGACTCCTTTTTCCCTTAATATAAAATAAGAAAAAAAAAGGGGGGGGGGGACCTTAAGACCACGTTTTGCACTACAAATGCTATCTTAAAACAATTAAGTTAATTTAGATGACATATATTACACACACACACATACACATAACACACAAAACACCCACATTGTAAGTAATATAAAACTTCTTATAAAGCTTATATAAGAATGATCAACCCCATCATACCTTTAGTACTGCTGTTTTCGCTTTCCTGTTTTTCTATCACAGGCTCTAAAGCAGGTTCTTTGGATTCAACTTTTTCCTCCACTTTTTCCCCTTCCTTCTGTTCCAGCTCACATTCCTTCTCCTGTTCTCTCGTCTTTTGCAGTTCTTTTTCCTTTTCCCACTGCTGTTCTAGTTCTTTCTCTTTTTCTTGCTTTCTTTCTTTCTCCATTTCTCTTTGTTTTTCCTGCTCCTTCTCCAGTTCTTTCTCCTTTTCCTGTTGCCTCTCCCTCTCTCTTTCCTTCTCCTTCTCTCTCTCTCGTTCTTGTTCTTTTTCAAGTTCTTTCTCACGCTCCCGTTCTTTTTCACGCTCTCTTTCCCTAATTTCCTCTGGAGATGGTTGCTTTTCCACAATGCCAAGCTTCTCATTTAATCGTTTCAGTTTCTCTGCACAAGCTGCCTTCCTTTGTTCTTCCATTCTTCTCTCTTCTTCTTCCCGCCGTTTACGAGCACGTTCCACTGCTGCAGAAACTTCTGACTGTTGTCTTCGTCTTTGCTTCCAAATTTCATCTTCATCAGGTACTTGCTGCTTGGGGGGGAAAGGGCCTGCTCTTCCAGGTACTGCCTGTCGATCTGGAGGAGGTGGATGCTGAAACAGTAAGGTATCAGATGAGTACGACAACTCTGTTATTTCTGACCAACACTGGAAATCATAGGCATAGACAAAGAAAATAAAAATACTAACAGGAAAACGGCAGAAATTTTCCTGATTAAAAAAAACACATTTAAAATGAAAACAAATAACAACATGGGGAAAAGATAAAATTTAGATAATTCCCCAAACTAAGACCAGAATAATTAATCCAGACATTCAATATTTACTGAGCACGCACCTATTTATTGTGCCAAACATTATTGCTTGCTTGGTATTTGTTGAGTAAAACCAGAAGCATGACGTGAGTGTCAGAATCTAAATTTAGAGACTTAAAAGAAAATTTAAAAAAAAAAGAAAATCTAAAGTACAAGGGCTTCAGCAGCAGCTGCCAGAGCTGGTACACCTAAAAGAGAAAATGCCACAAAGACCCAAAATGGCAGCACATGAGCTCTCAGAAGACTGAAGTGTAGCTACTGGGAAAAAGCAGGCCAAAGAGCAAAGTGAAAAAGAAGGAGACAACACTGCTGATGACATCAAAAAGGAGAAGAAATTCCTAGAAGTCCGTTGGGGGTGGGGCAGGACAGATCTATCTATATAGAACCCAGGGTAGGGAGTGAGAGGGTTACCTCCTGAGAGGCTGCATTTCAATGATTTAACTTTCAAAATAATGTGTTATAAAACAACGATAAAAAACCACTGCCAGTAACTACACAAAAGAAAGCAGAATGAAACCAACACACGAAGGGCTGAAAACATAAAGAAACTGATTTTTTTTCCTTCAGCATACTGATTTTAAAAGCTTAAAAAAAAAAAAAAAAAAACCAAACCCACTGCCATCCAGTTGATTCTGACTCACAGCAACCCTACAGAACAAAGCAGAACTGCTCCATGGGGTTTCCAAGGCTGTAAATCTTTATGGAAGCTGATGGCCACATCTTTCACCTGGAGAGCAGGCCAGTGGGTTCGAACCACTGACCTTTTCAGTTAGCAGCTGAGCGTTTTAACGACTGTGTCATGAGGGTTTAGGATGAAATCTTAAGTTACACAATCCAGTCAGAATATTTACAAAAGAAACAATAAGGGTGTGATGAAAAGACTAGACTTAATATAAAGCACCTAATTTACACAGTAATCCCACAGATTAGGCATTTTTTATAAAACTTCATATAAGTATAATTTACATAAAATATAATACACATATTTTAAGTGTATAGTTTGATGAGTTTGAACAAATGATACAACTGTGCAATCACCAACACAATTACCCCTCAGCCCCCATCTCTGGCCCCAAGGAACAAATGGTCTGCTTCTGGCACTATACAGTAGTTCTGTCTTTCCTATGTATTCCTAGGCGGATATACACAGTTATATTATGTGTTTGGGTCTTCTTCTGTGCAGTCTAATGGTTTTAAGGATCTCATGTGTTTATCAGCAGTTAGCTCGATTTTATTGCTGGATAGTATTTCATTATATGTACATCCATTCACCTACTGCTGGACATGTGGGTTGCTTCCAGTTTTTTAGTTATTAGGAATAAAACTGCTATGAACATTTACATGTAGCTTTTTGTGTACATGAGTGTTTTCTTTTCTCTTGGATAAATACCTAGGAGTGGAACTACTGAGTCATATGGTAACTGTATATTTCACTTTACAAGAAACTTCAAACTGTTTTTCCAAGTGATTGTTTAAGTTTTCACAGCACTGGCAACAATTTATGAGGGTTCCAGCTGCTCATCCTCACCAATACTTGGTATTGTCAGTCTTTTTAACTTTGGGTTTCTAATAAAATCTCATTGTGGTATTAATTTTCAGTTCCCTGGTAACTAAAGATATTGAACATCTTTTCATGAGTTTATTGGCCATTTGTATATTTTCTCTTGCAAAGTAAATGTTCAAATCATTTTACTGGGCTACTATATGTTCCAGACGCAAGTCATTTGTCATATATATGTAATACAAATATTTTTTCTGAGGCATTTTTCTAAGGCATATCTTTTCATTTTCTTAGAGTGTTTTTCAAAGTCTAATTGATCGGTTTCTTTTCTTATTTATGCTTTTCGTGTCCTAAGAAATCCTTGTTTACCCCAAAATAGTGAAGATTTTCTCCCAGATGTTTTAGTTTTAGCTTTCATTATTTAGATTTATAATTCATTTTGAGTTAATTTCCATTTATGGTGTGAGGTAAGGGTCAAGGTTCATTTATCCCCCATGAATATCTAGTTCTTCCAGCACCATTTGTTGAAAAGATTAACCTTGCCCCATCAATTTACCTTGCCACCTTTAATGAAAATCAATTGACCATACATTTGAAGATAGTATTTCTGGTTTCCCTATTTTGATCCATTGGACTACATGTCTATCCTTAGGCCAGTACCATGATGTCTTGATTACTGTAGCTTTAGAGTAAATCTTCTTATTAGGCACTATAAACCTCCTTCAGATTATTTTCTTTTATAAAACTGTTCTGGCTAATCTAGATCCTTTTAGTTTCCACAGAAGTTTCCAGTAGCAGCTTGTCAATTTCTACCCAAAAAAAAAAAAAAAAAAAAAAAAGCTTTGGAATTTAGATGGGGTTTGCACTGACCCTATAGATCAATTTGGGAAAAACTGCCATTTAATAATATTGAAGCTGTCAAATCATGAATATGGTATGTCTCTACTTATTTTGGTTTTCTTTTTCTCTCATCAATGTTTTATTGTTTTCTGTGAATTGTTACTACACATATTTTGTGAAATTCTTCCCAAATAATTGATAATTTTGATGCTATTTTAAAATTTTCCTTTTCCAACTGTTTGATGGTAGTATATAGAAATACAATTATTTTTACTGATTTTTTGTCTATGGCCTTGCTAATTTACTTATTAGTTCTAGTAGCTTTTATTTAGGATTTTCTACGTACATTATTATGTCTACAAATAAAGACAGTTCTACTTCTTCCATTCCAGTCTATATTACTTTCATTTATTTTGTTTACTGCCTTGGCTCAGACTACCAGGACAACATTGCATAGAAATGGTTGAGAGTGACCAGGTTGAGAGTGACCATCCTTGCCTTGTTCCTGATCTTAGTGGGAAAGCTCTGTTCTTTCACTATTAAGTCCGATGTTAGCTACAGGTTTTTTTGGTGGATGGTCTGTATATGATTAAGGAAGTTCTCCTTAGTTACAGGTTTGTTGAATTTTTATCATGAATTGGCATTGGATTTTGTCAAATCCTTTGTTAAATCTACTAAAATGATCATATTGTCTTTCCATTATTATCCTTTTAATATCTGCAGTATCTGTACTGATGTTCCCCCATTTCATTCCTATCTTGGTAATTTCTTCTTCTCTTTTATTCTTGATCAGGATACTAGAGGTCAATTTTCCTGATCTTTAAAAAGAAAAAACCCCAGCTGTTAGTGTCTTCAATTCTTCTCACTGTTTGCTATTTCATTATTTTTCCTTATCTTTATTATTTACTTTTACTTATCTTAGAATAAATTTTCAAAAACAAGCTTACTTTCTTAAGGTAGAAGCTGAGCATACTGATTTTATACCTGTTTCTAAATAAAGCATTTTAAACTATAAACTTCCCTCTAAACACTGATTAAGGAGCCCTGGTGGCTCAGTGGTTAAGACTTTGACTGCTAATCAAAAGGTCAGCGGCTTGAACCCACCAGCCACTCCGTGGAAGAAAGATGTGGCAGTCAGCTTCCATAAAGATTTATAACCTTGGAAATCCTGTGGGGCAGTTCAACTCTGTGCTATGAATTGAAATTGACTTGATGGCAATGTTGTTTTTTTTTTTTTTTTCTGATTAAACACCTATTAAGCTGTATACCAAAGCTTTTGAGATGTTTTATTTTCATTAACCTTCAGGTCAAAATACTTTCTAATTTCCTTTGCAGTCTCTTGTTTGATGCAGGAGTTATTTATAAGTATACTGTTTAATTTCCAAATATGTGAGTTTTTTTTTAATTTATCTTTCTGTTAATCACTTCTAATTTAATTCCACTGTGGTCAGAGAACACACTGTCTGATTTCAAGTCTTTTATATTTACTGAGACTTGCTTTATGGTCCAGAACATTGTCTATCTTAGTGTACTTGGAAAAGATGAATAAAAAAAGAAAATCTGATAATTTCAATCTACTTAATACTAAACTGCATCAGGACAAAATCATATTTTAAAAAGGCTGAGAAACACAAGTTTGGATTTATAGATATTTTACTTCTCAACCAAATTTCCACTGACTTAATAAAGACTTTCTAGAAAAATATATGGAATATTACTAGTTTTGTTAAATTATAATTTTCTAAAAGTTTACCTGGTATATCACACATAAGCACATTTATTCAGAATGAGTGCCTCTTGTGTCCAATATTATTCTAAGCACAGAGAATTCAGCAAGTAACAAGATAGATAATAAATAAGAAAACAAATTAATTAGTAGAAATGCTATAAAAACATTCAGTGGTGAAGAGGACAGTAACTGGTGGAGATGGTGGTGGAAGGCCACTAAAGCAGTAATATAAAGACCTTGCTCATAAGGATTTCAGTAAAGGGTCTTCTTGTTAGATGAAACATCAAGTGAAAAGTTTTGAGGATGAATAAAAAAGAACAGCAAAACAAATCTATCTGGCTAGAGATACAGACAGGGGGAACAGTAGATGAGATCAGAAATGTCGGACAGAGGGTGGGGCCGAGATAACAGAGTAGTAAGACGCCACCGGTGGACTCTCTTACTCTTATGACAAAGACCCGAAAAAATAAGTGAATCGATTACATATGACAATTTAGGGGCCCTGAACATCTAAGACAAAGTTGAAGAACTAGACTGAGTGGCAGGGGGAGGGAGAGACGGTTTCGGAAGCAGCCAGGAGTTGCCAGGCCTCACCTGGCGAAAGCCTGAGCCCATCAGGACTGATCAGTTCAGGGGTGAGCGGTGAGGCAGGCAAGCAGCCATGCTTGGGAGGCATATTTAGCACTGGGATAGACCCGAGGCAGAGAGT